ATTTCAATCAAGCAATGTAACAACAAAATAATATTTTACATACTCATGCTAGCTTTTTGTCTTCTTAAACTCCAGCATCCAGACATGAAGAAAATAATTTCCAGTACATTCAAAAGAATTTTGTAGTACGTGAATCTTCAATGTCAACATCATCACCACCATTATCTTCTTTGTGACTCCCTCTTTATCACATATTTAAATGATTGTTGATAACATGAAGTCGCTGTCCATGGGCCTGGTCACATCTAATATAACAGCTCTGTAAGATAGATGCTTTTGTAATTCCAACTTTACAGATAAGGAGACTGAGTGCTAAAGGGCTGAGATATGCAGAGCCTCACAATTATTGAGAATGACTTGAAATTCCAGCCAAGATCCAGATCTCTTAGATTGCAGAGTTTATTCTATTGACCACTAAGGTTTGCTATTGTTTTTGAATTTTAAAATTTGCATTTTTTTTAAGTATTGGGGATTGAATCCTGAGACACTCTATGGCTGAGCTACATCTCCAGCCCTTTTATTCTTTATATTGGGACAGGGTCTCACTAAGTTGCTCAGACTGGCTTCAAACTTGATCCTTCTGCCTCAGTTTCTGGAGTAACTGGAATTATAGGTGTATACCCTCGAGCCTGGCCAGAATTCAGATTCTGCATAATTACAGTCATGTGTATTGGTCCTGTGTGGTTTTCAGTGTTGTTATCATTCTGGGATTACAATTTTATTTTGTTACTTTTGTTTGCAAAACATGTGTATATAGCTAATAGTTCATTTTAACTTAAATTCTATATTTACCAAATTTAGAATGATATATTTCTCCCAAATAGTCTCATTGATGTTTAGACTCATCTTAAAAATATAGGATTGAGTAGAGTCCTTAAAATGACTGATATGTGAAAGCTTATTGAAAAAAATAGAGATAAAAAGTAAGACCAATGAAAAGAAAAAATAGTGACTTTTTTTGTTTCATTAAAAGTGGGATTGTTTTATGTCTTGAATAAATTAGAAACAACAGTCAAATTAATGTAATGTAGAAGCTATTAATTAGAGGTAAGGGAAAAAAGTTTTATTATAATAAAATCTATTTCATCTAATTCCTATGTGATGATTTATAATGTTGTTCTCTGGAACAATACTAAAAGAGCATTTGGAGCTACACTGTTGGAAAAGCACATTTTACTATTGTAACATATAATTATAGCCTACTATAGCAGCCTATATTATTCTTTAAATATTTATCCGTTTGAATAATTGGATTTAGAAGATTTGAATTCATTTGGTGAATACATGATTAATTTTTCATATATTTTGATAGCATACCAATCGTTCACTTGTCTAGCAACAAGCAAATGTATCCAAATAGTGTAAGTTTACAGCAAAATTATTCATCTTTCTGGATTCTGTTGAATATTTATGTCCAAAGTAAAACACCTACTGCAAAGTAGGAAAATTCAGTTACTGACTTACTTCTGGTGGCTAAAAATTAATTTGACTGTAACCTTCTATTTTACTTCCCTTTGTAGTTGAAAGCAATGGTTAAAAATAAATGAAGACAATATTACATCAAAACCGTTCCAAAGCTCAAAGAGGGTTATGGGCTGTTTCCATGGCGCCCACAGTGGTGGCTCACCAGCTGAGTTTGCCAGAGCTGCCTCAACAAAATGGGCCTAACTTTTGTGTTTTCTCCTGGAGCAGTAAGACTCCAAAGGCCTGTGTTGACGGGTAATGAGATTTAATTCATAAGAGGAAAAAAAGAGAGAGAGAGAGAAAAAAAAAATATCCATATTCATTGCTTAATCAAATAAAATTCTTTCATAGGATTGTGGGAATTCTCCCCAGTTGTTTCCAGAGCTTTCCTTTGGTAGCTGTAAACAAATTACTTTGCGAATAACTTCTTCATCAGGGAAGAGCAGCTCTGTTCTGTACTTGATCTTTCCCTTTGGGTGGTCCCAGCCAGAGAGCTCAGTCTTCCTCCTGGTAGTTTGGCTTTAGAAAAGCCTGTCTAGCACTCTGCTGACAGCTGCAGACCCCTTTTTTGTTAGGATAACAAACATCCTGTGTTGAGGAGAATATCAAGCCAGCCTGCAGTATGCCCAATTAGAGAAGCTCAAATCTCATTTGTTTCACCATGGGAGACCCCTGAAAGCACACCGTTTTGGCCTCATTACAGTATTTTTAACTTTACAAAAACAATTTCATTATGGAAATTAAAGAAGCTCATTTGGCCTTAGCATGTATGCCGAAGTTAATAAATTCCAGAAGTATTTCAACTGCCACAGCATGGAGTTTTGTCTTCACTTAATCACAGCCAATAGTTGCCATTAAAAAAAAAAAAAAAGGGTGAGTCCAAAGGAAATTCTCATTTTCATTTGCTGTTTGCTGTGCTTTGATTAAAACGCAAACAAACCTGCAAAAAAAAAAATATGAATTTCAACTGTGTTGGAATGAACTCATGAAGTTCATGTCTGTGGAAATGTTGAATCTCATGAATACATGAGCTGGGCATGCTGTTCATGTGTAACTCCTTGGAAGGTAACTGAGACTCAAAGAACAAAAGCGAGATAACACCCTCTACTCACTCAGTGCTTCATGTTAAAGAAAGGGTTAACACTTTCCAGAAATTTTCTCCTTTTGAAATGAGTTGACTTTTGTTATACTAACAAAAATGCAAAATAATATAACAGGTAATCAGATGCTGATTAGGGGTGGGAGGTTTGGGATTTGAGACTTCAAATAGCTTTATATAAATTAATGGCCTCATAAATGCCTGAATGACAGATAATGCTGTGTTGGTGCCCAGCCACCCTCACATTGGACCCTGTGCTGGGCTAAATTAACCTCATTCATTTCCTTTCCCAGAAAGAAGCTATAGACCAAAGTATTTCACATTTATTTTTACTTTTCTTCTTCAAACTTCAAATATTATGAAGTGATCTTATCTAGATCAAATTGTAATCAATAAATTAATGACATGAAACAAAAGGCTTCTATAATTATAATATTGAGGCTCAGTAGATCATTAATTAAGATCTGAAGCCAGGTGAGGTGGCGCATGCCTGTAATCCCAGTGACTTGGGAGGCTGAGACAGGAGGATTGATAGTTCAAACCCAGTAATTTAGTGAGGCCCTAAGCAACTCAGTGAGACCCTGTCTCTAATAAAATATGAAAAAGGGCTGGGGATGTGGCTCACCGTTAAGCGCCCCTGGGTTTAATCCCTGGTACCATAAAACAAAAAATGATCTGAATACAGGAGTTGGGGGTGTAGGTCAGTGGTAGAGCATGTGCTTAGCATGTGCAATACCTTGGGTTCAATTTCCACCAAAAATAAATAAAAAATAGAATAAATATGAAAAGACTACCATTATTCTTCTTTCCATCATAAAAAAAGAAATGCATTAAATTTTAAGAATTTAAGGAAGCCGAGAAGGAGAAAACAAGAACCTATTTGTAAGCCAGAATAAAAAAATAATTGTGAAAAAACAAGAGCAATAATTTGAGCAATAATTCCACCTTACTGGCACATGGAATTTTCTAGGGATTTTGTGTGTTTTCTCTCTGCATGCTCATCCAACCTATTCCCTCACTTCCTTCTGACTACCCATCTATTTCTAGAGAGAGAATGAACAGTTACAAATAATGCTCTTTGTAATATGATGTCCATCTTGTTGATTTTATCATTGAGCTTTGTTGATTTGATGCCTGTACTACAGGGATATAGAAGAACTCAGGCTAAGATTAGTTTCACTATTGGATGGCGTCCATCTTTCCATAACTTTGTTGCTCCATGGTGGAAAGTTCTATTGATGTCTCCAAAACCATTATTAGCAATTTGAGCTAAATATTTGAGACTTTTCTTTTATCCCCAAAGATAATGAGCAGAAGTTTGATGCAGCAGAAAGATTGACTGGACTTTGGTAGGAAGGTGTTGGTTCTGGATCAGCTCTGAGAATGGCTCAGATGTTGTGTTGTATGATGCATTACACCAAAATTTAGTAAAACAATAAACATAAACTATTGTAAACAATCTCTGAAGGTCAGGAATTTAAGGATCTGGATGGTTCTGGTTTGAATTAGTTCTTTAGGGCTCTTATAACAAAGTACCATAATCTTGGTGGTTTAAATAACAAGGAATTTATTGCATCACACTTCTGGAGTCTAGAAGTCCAAATTTCAGGTGTTAGCAGAGCCATGTCCTGTTAATACCTGCAGGGAAAAATCTTTTTTTTTTTTTTTTCCTCTTCCAGCTCTTGGTGTTGGCTGGAAATCTTTGGCATTTTAAAGATTCATTACTCCAATGTCAACCTCCATTGTTATGTGCCTATCTTCTCCCCATGTGTTCCTACATTGTCTTCCCTCTCTGTGTGTTGATTTCTAGGTCCAAATTTCCCTTTTCATAATAATACCAATTATATCAGACTAGGGTCCACCATAATGACCTCTTCTTAACCTTATTATATCTGCAGAGACTCCATTTCCAATTGAGGTCACATTCCCATGTACCAGGTGTCAGGATGTCAATACATCTGTGGCACAGCTCAACCCGTGACAGGACTCTCTTATGAAATAACAAGCAAGACATTGGCTTGATTTTAGTCTTCTGAAGGCCTACTGTGGCTTGAAAATCTGCTTTCTGAGGCTCCTTCATGTGGCTGGCATGTTGATGTTGGTTGAGGTGGGAGGCCTCCATTTCCCCCCATGTTGGCCTCCCCACTGTCACACATAGCACAATAGTTATTTACAGTAATGACCTCTGACACTTTCCTTCTGTAGGGGAAGAAAGGTTTCTTTTCACACTCACTAGGTTTATGGCTCTGCACCTAAAAGAGATCAACCGAAGTTTTATGTGATGTTGGAGCCTACAGAAATGAAGACCTAAGGAAATCAGAAAAGTTATGTGTTTTTTATGCTAGGTTTGATAAAGGAAGGATAGTTGTATATAAATGTGACTGAACAAAGGCTGTTTATTAAACAGGGAAACTGATTTTCAGCAATCTTTCCTCAGAATTGCATGACAATCAGCTGCTGGTAAGAAACTCGGGGATCCTCGCAAGGCCTGCTCGGATTCTTCTGTGTGACCTTGTGTCTTCAGAGACAGATGAAGACCTTTTGAATGAGGGTGTTAGGACCTGCTTCAGAAGAGAAGGGTGAAAGTGAGAGGACCTTCCTGCTTCTGGGGTCTTTTCAAAGGCTGTCTTATTTTGAATTAGCACATCTTGAACGCCATCGGGACTATGGCCTCGATCCCTCTGACAGGTATTTGCAGTCTTTCAGCAGGGGTCCTTGGGATCCTGAGTCCCCACCTTCCATCCAGTAGCCAGGGTGCCAAATCTTAGAAGGTGAATACTTCATCTGGTATTTTCACCACTGTGCTGCTAGCACCTGATCCAGTGTTCGTACTTGTTAGAAATTCTGTGCAAATTTGATGAGTGAACAAAGTTTTGAGGGTGTTCCTGAGTCTCCAGGTAACTTTGTGTTTTCTTGTTGGTGGGGTCAGAAGCTACAAAGAAGTTATGAGCTACAGAGTTTTCCTTACTAGCAGGACCAGTGTAGATAAAATTCTGAAGAGTGGTCTGAGGGAGGGCCGAGTAACAGGGAAACTGATTTTCAGCAATCTTTCCTCAGAATTGTATGACAATCAATTACCTGGGCCAGTATGGTTGAAGAGTTCTCTTACTAAGTGGGATTATTCCACACTTAGAAATTTCACATGACTTTGGATAGGTTTTTTTTAAATATTATTATTATTATTTTTGTTTTTAGTTGTAGATGGACAAATACCTTTATTTTTATGTGGTGCTGAGGATCAAACCCAGGGCCCCACATGTGCTAGGCAAGCGCTCTACCGAAGAGTCACAACCTCAGTCCCCATGAATTGGTTTTTAACTCACTCTCAATGTCTCTTTTAATGGCATAATCTATTTACCTGTTTCTTATCTTTATATTTTATTTTATTTTACTAGTGCATCATTTTTTACTATCTTCCCTTGTACCTAAAGATCTTTGCAGGAGACCTGAGTCCTCTAATCCAAACTGATAACCCAGTGTTTCATTTCAACACAATTTATTACAATATGTTATAAATGTAAATCTTCCTCAAATAAGTCCTTACCAGGAGTATGTACTTAGTCAACAACTGAATTAATGATATATACACTTTTTTTTTTTATTTCAAGTAAGATCCTTCTCCATTCTTGCTTTAACCTGGACATTATGCCGCTTACCTTGGTGACTGTAATGACCCCCCAACAATGTATTTCTGATCTTATGCATGCCTCTTATCTTGCTTCTCTCATTTACTACTTGCTGTTGTTGACAGTAAAAAAATAAGAATTCAGAAATTTATTTTCAAAATGTGCACGATTCAAACCAAGCTGTATTGATTTTTTTTCACTTGTATGACCTGTGGATCAGTTCTTCTTTTTTTTCTCTCCTGTTTACACTCGAGCTAATCTATTTGCAATGGTGGGGTTGAGGAGTAGAAGTCTGGTCTCTGTTGTTGCAGCTGCGTGTGTAACGAGGGAGTGGGATGTGTGTAATTGCTCATATGCTGAAGTTGTTATTATAATTGTTTTTATAAATTTGTATTTCCATAGCAAGCGTACTCCTTTTATTTAGGTTTTCTATTTTGGTTTTGAATGACTAAGGAAAGCTGGTGGAGGTTTTGAGAGAAGGTATTCAATATCAGGCCATGCTGTACCCATGAGGAATTTGACTTCCTCCCACCCCCCAGAAAAATACTGGTTTCTGAGCCTGAAGATCTGGGCTTTGCACTCCTCATAAGGATAAAATGGAAATATTAGATTCCTAGGAGAGCAGAGCTGCACAAGATTGTAATGAATTTTCCAGTTTCATTGTCTCATTTGACAAATGAGAAAACTGGGGTACAAGGAAGCTAAGTGATTTGTGATGAAGAAGTAAAAGAAATACAGCCGGGAGAGTTGACCTAGGTTTTGGAGACCCAGGCTAGATGGGTATTTTTCATTGCAACTCTATTATTCACTGTTAAAGATGATGCTTCAAAGATTGGCCTTAGTGGTAGAGTGCTTGCCAAACCTGTGCAAGGTCTGGTGTTCATTCCTTAGCACTGCACCAAAAAAAAAAAAAAGTGGGGGGAAGTGCTCTCAATGTCTTTCATTGCCACTCACCAGTGAGAAAATTAATTCAAAAGGCCCGAGATATGCTAAACATCAATAACTCTGGCCTTATGAGTAGTTATATTAACTCATTTAGGAACGACAGCTTACTGATAAATAGACTTGGTGGTTGCGGCAAGTGTAAACAGCCCCATCATTGTCTTAGAAGTTGAGGATTCTTTTTAAACATTAGACATACCTCCTGAGAGATACAATTATCACTCCTAGAAGTTACTGAAGAATTTGAAGCTTTGAAGAAAGTTTAAATAAAAATCAAAAGAAGGAGCTAATATTGTGCAGTAGACAGTCTACCCTGAGTGCCGTCTGATTCCCAGTAGGAACATTGTTTTATAGATCAAGGGTTCTACGCTCATACCCTTTACACCAATAAATCTGAAATGTGGAGGTTTTTTTTGTTTTTTTGTTTTTTTGTCTCTACACTGAGACTGAATTTTAAATAGGGACATTCTCATGATTCTAAACATTTTGAATACAGAGGTAAAAAATATAAAAAGTGATCATCAACCAAATATGAGATTTTTATAATTGTTGAACCTGTGCCATTAAGGAGACCTTGATGCCTTTAGAGAGAAGGAAATAAACAATGATTTATTCCTTCACTTACATTCAACAAAGAATTAAGGATCTAGGATGGCTTGTATTTTTGAGAGTGTCATTCTCATTGTGCCTCTCAGCCTCCTCTGCTGCCACCAGATTGTCAGCACCTGGAGGGCAGGTACCTCCCTGTATTCTCTTTATTCACTGATGGATTCTGAGTACCTAAGAGGCTTTTGTCACACAGTAGATAATCAACCAGTAACAATCAAAGATTGGAGCAATGTCCCTAATGAGCCTGCAGTGACCTGGCAGAGACAGAAAGCCATAGAGGTGACATTAATGACTTTTGGGATATGGGCTGTATGAGGAGATATATACAGTCTTATAGGAAAAGAAGAGGCACTGGCTCTAGAGTGGTGGAATCAGGGGCAGGTTTACAGAGAGGATCAAATCTTTGCAGAAGCTCTGTGAAGTAAGTAGGTAAGCTCTGTGAATGGCAATGAAAATAGTGAGAGTCAGTCTCTCCCCCCACCCCAACTCATTTGTGCAGATGAGGAAAGTGAGGTTCAGCTACTCTTGGACCAAGCTCTAGGCTTTCCTAAGCAAGTGGTTGGGAGCTCTGTGAGCATTAGAATCATTTGAGATGGAAGAGGTTTTGCATTATGTAGTCTCTGAGCTGAAATAATATTTCCAAACTTATTCTCCTTTGTTCCCAGGTGGTTGTCCTGAAGGCAGGGGGTCTGATAGGTACAGATATGCATTGCTTACACAATGAGAACATGTTCTGAGAAATGAGTCCTTCAGTGACTTTGTCATTGTGTAGACATTAATGACATGGCCTGGTACACACCTGGGTTTTAAGGTGCGTACAGATATTAACCTGTGGCTCCCAGATCTGTGATGAACAGGACAGCCCAAGAGGAAATTCTTGGGCATTTCCTTACTCCAGAGATACAGTGAACATGAGGTGTCCGAGGCTGCTGCCAGCCACACGTGACATACTATTTCACACTAAACTTTAACATTTTTTTTTTCAAATAAGCAAGAGTATACTCTAAAATAACAATAGAAAGCATATTGCAGTAAACACATAAACCATCACCAGCCATTCTATCAAGTATCATCAACCATACAGATTGTGTGTGCCAGGTTTTATTCAATGGGGGTTGGGCAGCACAGTAGGTTTGTTTACACCAGCATCACCACAAACACTTGACACGTGTATTGCTCTGGAACCTTACTGTGGCTCTGATGTCACCAGTGATGGGCATTTTTCAGCTCCATTATAATCTTATAGGACCACTGTTGCATATGTGATCCATCATTGACCACAGCATCCTGTAGTGTGACTGCATCTCCATTCCAGAGTGGCTAGATGATGGCCAAGTACTATTCCAATTTTTATTTACTTTCTTCTTTCCACATCATTTATTTTTGAGATGGGGTCTTATGTTGTCCTGGCTGGTGTTGAACTCCTAGGCTCAATGATTCTCGAGTCTCACCCTCCCTGGTGGGACTACAGGCAAGTGCTACGACTCCCCTCTCCATTCCATTTTTTACCTCCAGGTGTATATTGATTGGTGGATCTATAAAGTACCTTTTGTTCTCTTTTTATGATTACAAAGTGAAAGTATTTAAATTCGGAAAACAAGATCAGTGTTCTCACCCCCTTTCCTTTTAGTCCTGTCTTCTGTTTTGATCCCTCATCCTGCAAACATCCAATCAGTGATTTCAAAAGGGAACTTCAATACCATTGGTTACCAATTTAATGATGGCTTTTCAGCTTCCTGTGCACTGGATCAAAATGTTAACTGTCCTTTGTCTGTGCTGTAAATCTCATCAAAGTGTTTATATCTAGCCCAAAGTCCCTTTTAAATGCAAATACACAAGTTCAGCAGACACAAACACCACGTGGATTGTTAAGTGCAGCCTGCAGACTGTTCCAGTCGTTAACTGCAGCTTGCAGAATTTCTTGATGGTAAAAAAAAAAAAAAAAAAAAAAGAAAAAAAAAAAAAGAAAGAAGGAGCATGGAGGTTCTCTTTAATGAGGCTTTCCTTCTCATTTATCAAAGGCGGCGTTGCTTTGCCCAGCTGGCCTGGTTTGAAAATTAGAAAATAGCTTAATCTGGTTCACATATTAGACCTCTCTAGCAGGTGAAGAAGTACACATATTAAAGTGTATTTTCTTTGATTTATTTATTTTTAAACCATACCCTTTGCCATCAGGCTTAGGGTCTCTGACAGAGATGATTAAAGAACCACAAAAATCCTGTCCATGTGAGTATGTGCCCTATTAGGTAGAAAACATTTTTCTTTCTCTTTCTTTCTCAAAATCCTCCTTGTCCGGGCATGTATCCAGTGGACTTGTAGAGCTGGAGGAGCTTTAGCAGTCCTCCCTTTGGGACCCGTCATCTCCTAGATGAGAACCAGGGATTGCCTACCCTGACATAAAAACTTGTCCACTTTCTCAACTGGTTCTGTGCAACCAGAAAGTAGGTCCTTCTGTTCCTGACCAGAAGAACCCTTTTCTGTAACTTTAAAATGATCAGTTAGTCAGGAAAAGGGTTATAATAAGTTACAGATTGAATAATTAGGTCCCCTCAATATCCATAGGTAAAAATCCAAACCTCAAATGTGGTGGTGTTCGGAGGTGATTAGTTCATGAAGACAGAACCTTCATGAATGGCCTGAGTGTCCTTATACAGGGACACTGAGAGAGACCCTCCACCTCTTTTACCAAATGAGAACACAGCTA